CAAACCATCTAACCACGAGTTCACATTTTATGCAAAGATAATCGAGATACCTATGTTTAAAATGGTTAGACAGTGCCTTTCATTTAGAACTTAAGCAATCATTTGTTCAATGTAAAATAGATGAATTGATTTAAAACCTGCTCGTAAAAGGCTATTAGTTTAGATCAGTGAATCAATGGACAATATTATATTTTACACTCATCAGCAGATGTTCAGTACAAACATATTCAGTCTCAAATACTGACATGTCTAGAGTCATGAAAAAACGTATAAGCTATATTAACTAGCAACAACAATAATAGTATCGAATAAAAAAACATTAAAATATTATACTCATTGTGTTATATAAGAATTAAGGAAATACAGCGTGAACCGACAAATAAATTATACAAAACGTTTTACCGACTTACAGAAACCAAAAACTCTTATTGAGTACGTTACCAAGCAACAGTTAAAGCACGCATTTGTCTTTTGTGAATCAAGAATTATGACAGTTGAAAATTCACTTCGCTATTTTATTGATAAATATATGCCACTAGAGTAAATATTTATAAATATTGTATGCAATTTGAAAAACGGTAGCCTATTATACTTATAAATTTCATACGCCTAGTTTATTGACGATAGATTTTATGCTATTCAAATGCTGAAATCTATTTTTCCTATAGAATCATAAATATCTAGAACCAGTCAGATTGTTGAATTGTTTCGTCCTATTTAGGACTCGTCAGCTGAATACACCCGCATTCCGGAATTGATATTCACTACGGGACTCGAATCCAGTACCATTCGCTTCAAACGCCATCGCGTTATTCATTTACGCACTGAGTCCTGATAGTCAGTTGCTTGTGAAATGAGGTGAAGTTTAAATTCACTTGGTATTGTTTACTAGAATCTTCCCACTGATGTTTAGAACTACAATTGGTCAGTCTCTTATTGGCATATGTACATACTATGCGTATTGCCTTGATATTGTCTTAATTCACAAGCATCATAAGCAGAACAATCCAGATAAATGCGCGTAATTAAAAATTTGAATCATTTTTATGTAAATTGACAAGATGATAATCAGTCATGGGAATTATAAATATCCAATTAAGTTGAACAAAAATCTAGGTCATGACAAATCAAGTCATGTGTAAAAATTACAGTTTTTTTTATAAATGGAGTTATTTCAAGCAAATAAAAACAACTTTTCTATAATGTTCTTAACAAACACAGATAATATTTGTAATTTTAAGACAGAATAAGATCTCCGAAGTCATTTGAGTATAAAAATCAAATAATCATTTCCCTTTAAAAGAAGTTGAAATAAAGTGGGATCTAAAGAAGTGAACATTTTAAGTAGATTTATCTGTAAACAGTATCTTTAGTGGTCATATAACTTCTCAGTAAATAGAAGAACAATACATGTAATTAGAGAGTAGTTTTAGTTAATCAGTGATGGAAATTCATTATTATTCTGATTACAGAAATTCCACCACTCTCTTGTTTCATTAACTATTTTGGAATATCGAAAATCGAGATCAGTTAACAGTGGGTGATAATTACTATTCTCTTATTATAATTTTCACTTGCGTGGAGGTGGTTCGTTAATGAAAGGTAAAAATTTAAAATATAAACTTACTAACGAGTGGATTCTTTTAGATTATTCAGTAAGGCAGTGGATATCGATATTAAGCATCTCACGTGAATTCGTTTGTAACTCAAAATGTCGTGCAAATATTGTCATCGTCTACATCTATACATCGGGAAGAATTAATTAAATTGTCTGTCTGAATCTGCATTGACATTTTAGTAGTCAAAGATCCATATCTTTTACTGTGTATATAAATATGTATTAAATAATATAGATGAATTCAAAAAATATGAAGGCTTTGATCCAAAATCTTCCGAAAGATTGACTTTTCACTATTTTAACAACATGACTTTAGACAAAGTGTTTTTGCCAACCAAATTATGATGACTAACTTATCTCAGACCTTACTAGAATATACCTCACTACCTTACTACTAATTTCCTTCTGAACGCTTGATCTCACTATTTAAAAGTTACTGATTATTTCAACTAATACTTTGATCACAAAGAAAATATTTCGAATTTCAGCAGGATTGCTGGTTTATTTGACGTTTGGTATTATAGAAACAATCAATATGATGTTTTCTGTCATATTGGAAATATCAGTTTTTTATCTTATTGATAAATCTTCTAATTGAACGCTAGGTTCTGTTTTCTAAGCTATTCTAGTAACACCCCCAGTCTAATCTACACGGCCAGTTGAACACGAGAGAAAAGGCGTGAAATATGGAAGAAAAGTTTTACTCCATGTTTTATTTATGTACAGAAAATTTATGGTATTTATAGCATTTTAAGTGGCCTTGGGCTTCTGGAACGCTACTAGACATAGTAGCAGTATAAGTACTTATCCAAACAGAAACTCGACATGCGACTTCTCACTTTCTAGATGTTTCGAGAAAAGCTATCGTTTCTCAGAGCCCTATTTGGCTTTTCTAAGAATTTTCTGAGTCTCCCCACCACTTATCTATAAGTATGCAGACCTTATTGAAAGGAAAATATTAGTTAGTCAATAAATAGATCGTTTCACCAATTAATATCAGCTTTCAAAAAGTTCGAGAAATAAGTTCGAATTTGCTAAGGCGGTTGATGTCGTAACTCAGACCATATCTATATACATAGAAACTGAAAGTCAACAATATTATTCTCACCCTGATAATCACATTGAGATGTGGGTTACTTATATTCACATAAGTAGTACATAACGGCGGTCAGGTATAGAATGTATTTCAGTAGAAGATCGATAAGGAAAGAACGGAAACCGTACGCGATTGGTATGAAAATGCATGAACAATGAAATCTGAGACAATGGACAGATATTTGCAAAAGGAACAGTCATGTTTGAGACGATGGATTGATATTTTGCAAATTAACTATATACTATATGGTTCTCAGATTTTAGTAATTTGCTCTGTCAAATACATTCGATTGTCCCCACTCGTGTTCTTGTTCACTACAATATCTCTTAATAGTTATATAGTACACGGATACTATCATCTCAGTATTGGGTATTATAATTTTCCAAGTTTAATACATCTAACCTTTTAGTGCAAGGTTAATCTGTTAATCACTTATAAATAATAAAGATTTTAACTTTTAGTAAATAATATCACCTGTAACTACTTCTGTCTTAAACTATTTGTTATATTTACTAGGTCGACAAACCTACAATTACATTGTCTTCAGCTTTAACCAATAACATTTTAGTTAACTCAATAAGCGTAGGAGTGAACATTTCAATTTTCCAGGTCGTAAATAACATTTTTGTAATAAATAAACTCACTCATGTTACACTTATTACTCCTAATAGACAAAAGTAGGCTTCAAACGTAAAGCGAGATCATCAACAACCATGAGCACTGTGTTAATTATTTGTTTATTTTACATATTATTATTGTTTTTGCGTTTAACACTTGGCTGTTTATTAAAATTATTTATAACGTAAGAACTCTTGAAGAATATAATAAAATAAGATCATCAGAACTGTTATTGTCTACGTATTCATTGGTCTATTATTAAGATAAAGTAAACAGAAATTTCGAAAATCCCAGTAAGATTTGGTACCGCTAACCCTGAAATGAAATTTATTCTTAATATCCTTTGAAAATAGATTGAATTACCTTGACCTAAGAAAGTTTCAATATATTTATATAAAACATGAAATTAGGAAATGATAAAATATGAAGAAAAAATACGGGAAATTGATTTAATTTTTGAATTCATGAATCAATTGAAGCTATACCACCATCGAAAGTCTGGAAGTACTGGACAGCCGTCTCGTCCTAGTATGGGACTCTTCAGTGGTGCTCAATCATGATTCCATCTCGCGAGATTTGAACCCACGTCCTATCAGTCTTGCAAACAAGCGTCCAACCACTAGAACACTGAGTCGTCTATATACTAAGACGAAACGGCCGTCCAGTGCTTCCAGGTTTTCCATGGTGGTCTAGCTTCAATTGACTCATTAATTCAACAAACAAATGATTAATTAATGTTTTAAGACAGTTTATCAATGAATATTTAAGAAGTCCTGTAATAAAATATCAGGATAAGTTCACTTGGTATTGTTTGGCTTGTATCTTCCCATTGAGGTTTAATATTGCAATTGATCAGTCTGTTATTGGCATATGTGCATACTGTGCGTATGCCTCGATATTGCCTTAAGTCACAAGCTTTTTGTAAGCAATGATTGATAGTTATTTCAAAAAAAAGAAAACAATGATAATAAAAATCATAAAATATGTGAATCTTCTTTTTCATGAAAAGAAACATAATAACGTCTACTTAACCAACAAACCTTAAGAACTTTCAACCAACGAATAAAAGAAGACAACGGAACTAAAAGAACATACTTTCTAAGAGTATTTCAATTAATATATAAATTTAATAAACAACTATGTTGTTTTAAGAGATAACCATTAAAATAATTTAATATATTTGATTTTAGGTTGGAAATGTAAACACTGATGAGGACTTCATAAATGTTTTTTCTCAAGTTGTGGTGCTCGTTGATCGCAGTAAGAGATAACGGATTGACCGAATTTGTAATAACTAACTTACGATGGAATATATCCGAAATCTAAATTTAGTTCTATAGGACAGTACTGTTAAAGAATTTACAGAATAACACAGTTTCGATATTTAAAACTTAAAAGTTCTAGATATTCATAGGTATTGGATTAGACAAAAATTAGGTAAGATTTATTATTACAAATTCTATTTATTTTAGGATGAAGAAGACATTTGTTTTTGGAGACATTACGGAGAAGTTTAGTAACCAAGGTTACAATTTCCATTCACAGTAATTTATTTGTATCAGCATCATTTTATGAATTCAAGATAAAATAAATAGCCCACTTCATTCTTAAAACTTCAGTCAACTATTCGTCATCTAATTTTCTGTAAAAGGTAAAACAAACAAAATTGAAAACGCACAAACAACTTGTATTTTTGCACAAAATAGTATTCTGTAAAGAAATTTACAAAATTAAAAAAGCATTTACAAATGATGGAAAATTGTTTGTATATATTTATCTTTTATTCTCTGTTCCTGTAGCTTGAATGATAGAAATAAATCACGAGACAAATATAGACGATGTATCACATATGGTAATTAACTGCACTTGAAAAGCCAACACTAATAACGATTGTGATTTATAAAGCCATTGTAAATAGTTACAGCATTTATTTGCCATTACCCATTTGATCTAGTTCGATCACATAAATATTTCTCAAATAACCACTGTATTTTTGTACATTATCAATTGAAAATACTTTGTTTGGTATATGCACAACTATTCCAATTACATTGTCTAAATGACAATTTACTAACTTTTGTGCAGTGAGGCCTGATCCCTGAAGAGAAAGCAAATTTTGCATAAATGAGCATAAGTAAAGATTTTGAGAGAATTTTAATAGACTACTTAATTGAGAAATTTCATCAAAAAAATTTGCTTTTACTACAAACAAATTAAAAATTAAGCTGAAGACAATTACTAGCATGGTACTATACACTTTAGCATCACATACTCTTATCTGAGTATCTGTTAGGTTCTTTATATTAGATAATATAGGGACATTCCTTTTAATGAACAAAAAGTACAGGTCGATTTGTCAGACCATTATTAGTACTAATTGATAAAGTCATATATAATCGTTATATTACGTGAAAAGCATCTATTTAGGTACTCGGAAAGATTTCTATCAATAAAAATCATTGTGCCACATAAAATTACAGAAGATAGTGATGAACAATAAGCCAACAAGTAAGTCCTACAGATGCAATTTAAAAAATTTTCGAGTAATATGTGAATTAACTATGAAGTATTACAGCACTAGAGTTTACAACATAAAAACTCATGTGACTCTAATTTATAAGAAGCCAGTAGTATTCTTCATGTTACCATAGCCCCCAAATGCCCTGGTATGGCCGAGAGTGAGGAGAGTCCACTCTCCCTCTCGAAATGCTCTCACATTGCCACGCGTATATAGCCTCTGGCAGGGAAGTCCTACTCACTGCCTTCTCGTAGCATCACTGTTGTTTACGAAGCTGACAGGACGAAAAGCGAATGTCCGGCGATTTAACCTGTTTGGTGGACACGGAGAGTCTACCTAGAGGAGTTGGAAAACCCTCATTTCAAACCAATGGTGCACATGAGCTCCAGGATTCTGAGGGAACACATGGCGTATGAACCAATCGTTGGTCACCGGCTACCATGGGACTGCATCTCCTTATGTTGCCCCACTGCTTTGTGGATCAGACCTTCGGGTCGGAGGCTCTGGGTGTGGGCACCCAAGCAGTATCACAGCCCTCATACATATCAAATGAGATTTGTGTGGCGCATATGTGTTTGGTGTCTCCTTGTACCAATATCTACGTGTTAAAATAAAAATAAATAAAAATGGTGCCATCAATAGTATTACTTATGGCTGAGACATAATTATTATTTCTGTAAAATTATTTATTTATTTATCTTCTATAATCTTTAAAAAAATATTCTTCAATAATAATATTACAAAGGAAAGTGTAGAGACCTTCATGGGATATCCCACTCAGAAATTGTAAGATTTGACCAATAATAAACAAGGGGAAAGCATTGAATTTAATAATATTTGGAATTTAGTTAATTCGAAGATAATTCTAAACAACAACTGAAATCTGTCAAACAAACATGACGGAAAATTACTTTGTTCAACCTTAAAACACTAGTACTAAGTATTTGTGAACTTCACTAAAAATATTCAGTGAAACAATAAATTTAGAATCTTATTACTCTGATAACAATAATTAATGGTTGAAGAGAAACATTTCTTCCATACAAAGATTACATCACAACTCAATAAGTTTCCTCTCAAATTACTTTAGCGGACTAGAACTTTAAAAGAAACTTCTTAATGTGAAGTTATTCTCCGAAATTCAGACATTTTTGAAAAGTATACTATCCAATGATTATTATTATAAGATTATAAGATTACATCACCTGGTGAGAAAAACACGTGTTATATATAGAAGAAACTCAATGAACTTGTTTTGTACACTATGAGCTTTACATTTTAGGATGGACACCCTAATCTCCATTAAAAAAATATAGGTTTGATGATTAAAAGCGATTTTATCAACGATGATTCGAAACATTAACATAGTATCGTAGACCAATATTTGATGTTAGAATCTCTAAGAGACAATGTTCGTGGTTATGAACAGAGTTAACACTAAGACGAACAGATTTATAAAAGTAGTGAAACAGCTACGATTAAATAAGATGTCAACAGTGCAAGTGTAATTTTAAAATTCTACTCGTATGGTTTCTTATGGTAACAAAGCAGAGTTGGTTTTTAATTAACTTGACTAAATTTCACTTGAATCAATTGAACCCGTGAACTGATGTGACTATGTGAATCAATAGGCTGAAATGATAAACGATGTAGGTTTTAAACTTTAGGAAAATTATTGTCTTCCTTGAGGTTGATGATATATATATATATGACAAGGATCGTCAGCAATGTTTGTCGATTACTTAATATTAATTAACTATTTACTATTAGCTGACATCTGTATAAATTATTAGAAGCAAATAAGATATATCAATAGGATACCTTCAACAAATTTGATTGTGTTACATTGAGTAATTTGCAAAGTCTCCAAGAGGCCATCTGAAAGTAAAGTTTAGCATAAAAAGTAAGTATTAAAGGGAAACGATGATGATAATAATAAATGGAAGCATAAGATGAAAATTTCACACAATCAAATATATAAAATAATGCAGCAGTAAAAAATCAACGTCAATTCACTGTATAATAGGAAATAGTTATAACTTCATAAATCTCATTAGTCAGTCAGTCATAAGCAAAGTAGAACCTAGTACGTATGTTCATCGATTTAAATCGCCACACTTTATCAGAAGAGTAAGACACAACTATCAAGATAAATTCGGAGTAGTAGAAATAATAACAAAATCAATGGGAGAAAAAAAAAGAATAGGCATAAACATGGTTCAATAAGGAAGAGTGAACTTGTAAAATAAGGATTATATTCATCATTAGAAATATAATTTTGAAACTCATGATTTAAGAGGGGGGAACAAAAAGTGAGTCCATATGAGATACAATGATTGATTCCGAGCTATTTCATCTAATATATTCAACCACTGATTAACGGTAAACGTGTGAACCATAATCCAGTAAATCTGTATCTGCCAACATGGCTTCATCTAATAATACGACTTAAACAAAATGCCTAATAAATTCAAAGGAACAATGTATTATATCTATAATTTTTAAGTCAATGACCCTTAAAATGTACAGATACCTATAAATATAACTTCATACATATATATATCCAAAACATAGTTCTTAATTACGAAATGAAACAGGTACCTGTCAATGAATGTGAGTAATATTACTAGGCGTTCCAATTTTTCAGTATTTTTACTACAACTACTACTGATACCACCAATACTACTACTGTATCAATAAAGATATTATTAGTAACTTAGGAAACTACTCATTTCTCACAAATAAAATACAGACCGACTTCCGTGTTACCTTCAGTTCTTTCATAAATAAACAGAGAAAAGACGTTGACTAAAAATGAGAAGAATAAGATAAAGGAAACCATCAGTATTATCCTAAATTTGACAGTTCTACAGACAGATGGTAATTATAAAAATGAAATAGAGCCATTTAAATTCATAAAACCTAATATTATGTTTTGATGCCGACTAATTTTTGTATCTCGTGAAATAGCTAATTGACATAGAGAAAAGATCATTTCAGGAAATCTATAAATGTCGACTCCATTAATTTAATTAATTATTTAGATCATACAAAAAATAAAAATAAAACTGCAAAGAATAACCAAGAAGTGAATAAAGTATTCAACTTTTAGTCACTAGATCTCAAGTTTTAATCTATTTTGTTTTGAGTAATTGGACAGTTAGCACATTTCAGCTAAAAGTCAACTACATAACTATATATATTTAGTCACAAGTCTTTCTTAAATGACATTCGTGTTTCAACATTTATTAATTTCACTTATTGTTCGAACTGTTGTTTATGGACCCGGAAACTATCAAGCATCGACCATATCTTCGGGTTGAGTACATGAATCTGTACTTAGTTACAGTATTACACTAATAAGCTAAAAAAACAACTAATGATTACTTACATTTAGTGTCAATTCTACAGATGATTTATGTCTTTTCAATTTATTAACAGTGGATTGATCGTTGTCAAAATTAATTAAAACTTGTACTTCTGTTTCCAATCGTTCAAGAGGATTTGATAAAAGCGCTAAACATCGGACACATTTCAAATTTTCTTGTTTAGAAAAATATTTGACTTTATTATCAACACCAGAATATATTTCAAAATCAGCGCATGCACAATAAGGACAAATAGACCAAACATGTGATCGACTTGTATCTACATGGATCAATGTACCTGCATAATTTATCAACATATTATAATGATAATGAAAATATGATAATAAAAACTGGAAAAAATTCACGTAGGAGGCAATGAAACTTTAAGATTAGAAATCTTCATGAATAATAAATGATAATTAATCGGCATTGATTTTTGTTCTAATCGATAACAGATATGTGTAGAGAATGGAAAAGGGCAGACCAAAACAGTATCACAACGGTTAAGTTCTTACTGAGAAAACAACTATTATCATTACTATCATAACAAATTACTGTAACCATAATATCAGAATTGAATTGTCTATTAGAAGCTTAGGAATACATAAGCAAATGGTAATTATGTAAACAAATAGAAGAATAAGAAAGTATCGATTAGAAAACACGCTGTAGTTTAGTACAATTTATTATAAGGCAAATATTGAACGGCGACCTGCTTGAATATCTGGGCTACCTGTTTCTGCCACCTAATTATTTCAACAATTTTTGTTTTTCCATTTTGTTTTAACGTCTCATTATGTTCATTAGTCGCATAACCTATACAGGCGTGTTTATGAAAAGCATACGACCTTTCGATGCACAAGTTACAAAAAAGTACAATAAAAAACATCATGGTGGTTGGCAATATGCGTTAAAGAGAATGAACATTATTCCTATGTCGATTCCCGAGCTGTTAAATTCTAACTGCCAATCACTAGTTAACAACGTGGACTATCTTCAATTCCTACTAGATCAAAATATGTATCATAATTGTGGTGTCATCACAATTCAAGAATATTGGTTAAGTGATTTACAGGACGACTGCCTAGTATCACTACTTGATTTCAAAATTTATTGTCAGGATCGATCAAACAATAAAAAGAGGTGTGGCGGCGGTGTAGCTACATGTGTAAACGTGAACTGGTGTCGATCTGCGTTTGTATGTTTGAAGTTTACAAATGACTTTATCGACTAACTCTAAGATGCAGTCCAAACATCTGAATAAATACAAATATGTTTATGTTACCAGACTGCACATCATCTGCGCTATCTGTTTTCGCTGATGAATTCACTGATTTCGCTGTTACTGCCTTCAGTGATTCACTTCCAGTTGTATGTGGTGATTTCAATTCATGTGGCTGTAGCTTCCTTACGTCAATAGGTCACCAAAATGTAGTAGATTTTCCTACTCGTTTGGATGCTCATTTAGACTTCCTTTTCATTAATGATGTGGGTGACTCGTAAACGTGCTCCATTGTCTAGCTCGGATCACTATATAATTCGTGTTCTACATAAAGTATATGGAAAGCATGGGAAGAGTACACTCTTACATCAATCCAAGAAAGTCAAATATAGGAATTACTCAGAAGAAAATATCCGAAATCTGAAAAACATGTTTCATACGACTAACTGGGAATTATTTACAGATGACTCACTGGAAATCACTACTGATGTTATCACTTGTTACCTTAAATTCTGTTTTGATATTTGCTGTCCCACTGAAACCATTTTTGTAAGTTTTGATCAACTTACATCTTCACAACTAAAACGACGACGTAGGGTGAAAGAAAGAATGTACGAGGAGAAAAACTCTAGTGAAGTTCGTAAGCTAAATGACCTAATAAACCTAGAGAACTTTATGTTTACTCAAAAACTCTTGTCTTGTAAAAACTCTTCAAGTATGTGGAAACTCTTTAAAGAACTTACAGGTGACAAACACATTAGGAGCGATAACCAGCTGAATGTTTGTGACTTAACTAAGTCTTTTGTACGTCAGTCATCTGATGTAATGCTCCCTTCATCCACAGGTTTAAAGAATGGCTGTGTTCCTACTTTCACTGAAACTGATGTACGAAGATGTCTCCAGTTACTTAATTCATCTCGATGTTTGGGACCTGATGGTATCCCAAACATCCTTTTTAAAAAGTGTGCTGACGTCCTATGTTATTGATTCACGACTATCATTAACAGATCCTTCTCATCTAATCTCATACCGAAAATGTGGAGAAAGGTGAAGATAATCCCTGTATCAAAGAAAGTATCTGGTGATAAGAATGTGAAATCTAGACCTATTGTAATAACTTCACCCTTCCTCAAAACAATGGAGAAATTATTCATATTTCCACTTCTGTCTGCGATAAATAAACACACTGATCCGTATCAGTTTGCTTACAGATGCGAAAGAAGCACCTTAGATGCCGTTACTGTTCTGCATCACAATATAGTGTTCAACTTAGAAAAGGGTAAGAAGTATGTTCGATGCGCTTTTCTGGACTATACTTCAGCTTTTGATTTTATACCAAGACAACGTTTAATTAACAAGTTAATCAGCCTCAACACTGACAGCTGGATAACAAACTGGTTATGTTCCCACCTCTCTGGAAGGGTTATAGTACACTGTATTTGGAGGAAAGTGTTCAGAGTCTACTGTCTCACCAAGATGTACCACAAGGAGCTGTTCTTTCACCTCTTCTTTCCTCTTTTTTTTCTGCATGATCTGCTATCTTCCACAGAAAACACTTTTGTGAAATATGCGGATGATCTCACTGTATGTATGCCTATCTCTTCCTCATTACATCCCATAGAAATGGATGAGTTTTTGTCTTGTCCAGATTGTTGATCTGTTGGTAATGGTCTTATACTAAATCCGTTTAAATGTCTATGTATGTTCATTGAAACGAAAGTATAGGAAGATGGTAATATAACATCCATAAACATTGAAACAACTTTACTCTAAAATGTATCGAATATCAGGATATTAGTAATTTCTTTTTAATATGTACAGAATTTAGTTTTCAAGAATCAGTATGCCTATATACCTAAGAACATGGATAAAGATAAAGAATCTTAGTTAGTGAAGCATATAATTAAATAAGCCATAGTGCAAGACACTGACAGCCCGAAGATGCGATTTAACGTATGATTTTAGAATATCTCATATACTATATTCCGCAAGGTTGAATATTGAAGTCTACCTATATACGGGGTAGAGAAATGGGAGGAAACTTGGTGAAACTAAGTTAAACAATCAAAGAGAAAAGGAAGTAGTTAATAAAAATAAGAATGATGTTGGAGATGTGTATGTAAAGTGAATGAGATTTTCTCAAATTGATCCTGTTTGGAAGTAAGGGGAAGTTAGAAAAATCGACCACTAATTCTTTGCGTGTATTGACAATTACATGAAATTTAAAAAAAGAATAGGGTTAAGAGCAAAAAGGAAACAAAAATATTCCTACCTGAAAAACTAACAATTTGATGAACACGTAACTTATTCACATCTTCAAGTGACTGTAATAAAATATAGTTGGAATAAATCTGTTTGGAGAGAGAATTTTTTAAAGCATACATCGATGAAGAATGTTGAGAGTAATTCTCAGTCTTAATTGACGTAAAACGATCTAGAAGAATGAAACCTAGATGAAAAAGAGAATAATAAAAATTCTCATAGTTTATAAATTTAAGTTCCACATATAAAAATAAAAATAAAATTATTCGTATTAAGTGATCTAAGGGGTTCCTACATGTTTCCTTTTATATCATTTAAAATGTTGACAAGGTTTGTTTTTAGTAAAGTATACGACGATTTCTTCTGAAAATATCACCATCAGAACCATTGAGATCATTTGCCTTCGGATGATGACATTATCTTTCGGATTGTAATGCTCTACATTTAACCAAGGCGAACTGAGCAAAAGTTTGATTAAACATTATAATTAAAAAATGTGATATTAAAGTCCGGAAGAATATATTCAATCATTTAAATGTGTAGTTAATTTCCATTTTATAAAGTACCAGGGAATTATTTTAGTAAACGAAAGGCAACGTCGTAAGACGATTTTTAATTCTCATACCGAACAAAATCTATATTTGTAACAATTGATGTATATATGTAAACAAGTTTATTACATAAGAACGTGTAAGTTGGATACGATAAACAGGGATTTATTTAGACATTGCAGGACTTTCACTGCATGGACATTTGGTGGTCTTTGGACGATTCTATGTTTATTTTCTTTTATACTACATGCATGTATGACACGCCTATTTTAATAAATGAGGATTAGTCAGTTGTTTATAGTCTGATAATCTTTTACCAAGATTAGAGTGGTGGCTATACACATCTGAACAAGTTGTTTGATCACACTCAATTCTATAAGTAATCACAGAATGTAAGAATCACATCGACAGTCAGTAAGTATACAATCTTTTCCAACTAAAGAGCATCATAAAGTCAATATTTTTTAAATATAATCTACAAATAATTTGTTAGAATGTACGGTAAATATGAGAGCCTTATTCCTCACTCATCTCATTATCATTTTAGGTTTCGAGTTTGTAAATGTTCCTTACGATGTATGATTATGGTCACTCGATAAAGTGAATAATAACCAACAGTTTTGTAAAATATGGTAATTCATTTAACTGAACGGATATTATTGTTGGTATTCTCCTCCATCTTTATCGAGATAAATCCATTGCTACTTCTTCGACCTTTTATCTGGTATCAGTCAGCGCATTCTAATAAAGTTTGTGACATACATATTTTCTACTACAAAATAGAAAACAAATTTGTGCAACATGTACTACTACTTCGAAAGATAGTTCATTGTTAGGTAAAACATGTTATCAATCACTTATCACCTACGGTTACATCAAACATGACATGCAAAATCACTAACTACTTATTGGTAGATCACGGTAATATCAAAACGCTATACTTGAAATAGATTAAAGACTTCGCACGTTACAAAATGTAAGTATCATCAAGTGTTATGAATTGGAATTTTATGATTCAATGGGAAAATTTCGAATTTTTACAATGGATAAAATAAAATATCAATAGATAAATGAACGCAATAATACGATATAGCAAAGCAGTTAATGATTCCAATCCTTAAGTGAACTGAGCTAATAGACAAGAAAGACCACTAGTCAAAAGAATAGACTATTTTTTATAAAATCAAATAGCATACTTATAAACAAATGATTAACACATAAATAAACATGATAACGATACAATAAATAATGCAAGATAGTAGTAGCGTGATACCGTGAAGAAAAATTACATTATATATATATATATATATATATATATATATATATATATATATATATATATATATATATATATATATATATATATATATATATATATATATATAAAGTCGAGACTACTTAATATAACTTACTATCAAAAAATAATCCTTGATCAATGATTATATAAACACCAAATCCAGTAGTAGATAAAAAGTTTGATGTTGAAGAGATAGCAAATAATTGTTCGTAAATTAACTCTATAGGTGAAGTAACATCGACTAAACAAATACATGGAATTAATGTTGATGTAACAGATTCAGAAATCCATAAGTAAAATGTTCGTGTAGACTTTTGTTCATTAGTAAATATATTTAGATTTTTTAAAGAACATTTCAATTTTTTACTTTCATGATTATACAAATCGAAAATAACATCTTTGACAAGTGAACCTTCTGCTGGCTAATAAAGACAAAATAGCAGATTACTATATATATATATGTTTGAATTAGAATACAATTGATTCGTTTGTGTAAATAAACAAATTGAATAAATAGTCATTTCAGACAATATTGGTCACGATACAATATCAGTTGAATAAACCATAGGATAGTTTTGTTCTAACTAAATATGGAATATTCATATTTAAGATTAAACCTTAAAATAGTTGATTCTCAATAGTATCCAAATGATAAGTTTATATATTCCTATTTCACACTATTTGTGATACAAGTACGTTACAATAGATTTTGAATTAGTATTTGACTGGTATTAAAACATTAAGAAAAAAAATCCTCTACTGAAGTTCATGTAAGATAATAAACAATTCTCAATGTTTTTGATTGAGATCATGAACCGATTGATGTTAGACCACCATTGAAAACCTGGAAGCACTGGACAGCCGTTTCGTCCTATTGTGGGACTTCTCATGATCTCAATGAAAAGCTTGACAATCTCCATAACCCCTAAGCTGATAATTACCATGTGCTAACTAGTGACTAGCTTCATGAGAAAATTCTCGGAGTTCTAGTGGGAAGCAGTGACCAGTGGAGCTAATCCGTGTCGGGTAAAAATAGGTGTCTACATCAGGACAATGGAAGATGGTCGCGCATCTTCGTGGATTGGTTGAGGTTAGACATTAACAGCATTGGATGCCGACTCAGTGGTCCAGTAGGTTAAGCGTTCGCGCGCGAGACTGACTGCCCTGAGTTGGAATCCCACGAGCGGGATCGTGGATGCGCACTGCTGAGGAGTCCCAAATAGGACGAAACGGCTGTCCAGTGCTTCCAGGTTTTCAATGGTGGTCTAACATCAATCGGTTCATGATCTCAATAAAAAACTTAACAATCTCCACAACCCATAAACTGATCATTCTCAATGTGCTTAATTAATTAACTAATGATAACCGCTTTATATTTCTTGGAAAATGTAAAAAATCAACACAATATGTAATAGAATTTCATAATGTTGGTAATGTGCAAATCCACTACAATCAATAATCAAACGTAATTAACTGTAAAAATTTCATTGACGCAAATTTTATTTATTTTTCTGGTAATAATATTTTGCTTTTGCTTTTCATCATTGCTGTGTATAAAACCTCTGGTATCTAGTAAACCATTTACTTAAGTTTCAGTGTTATCTTTGTTTATAAAACAAACAATGTGAACAAATTTATATATAATAGTTTTATGAGAAAGGGTTTCGTGGAGATTGTATTAATCTCAATAGTTGAGATCATGAGTCAATTGAAGTTAGATCATCATGGAAAACCTGGACGGCAGATTCCTCTTATTATGGGACTCCTCAGCGGTGGGCATCCACGCTCCCCAGCGAAGTTTAACCGGGTCTGTTGTGAGATAGTCACTCACTGATGACAATGGTGGATGTGTCGCTCAATTTCGTGAACTAGTTGAAGCTAGACATTAACACCGTTGAATGCTGGCTCAGTGGTCTAATGGCTGGGCGTTCGCGCGTGAGACTGATAGGTTCTGGGTTCGGATCCCGCGAGGCGAGGTCGTGGGTGCGCACTACTGAGGAGTCCCACAATAGGATGAAACAGCCGTCCAGTGCTTCCAGGTTTTCCGTGGTGGTCTAGCTTCGATCGACTCATGAATGTAACTACTACATTACTATAATATCCACAAAACCCCTCTCTGATAATTATTTATTTATTACCTGTTATATATTGTAGTAAATATTAATAAACTAATTCAAAAACCCGACTAATTCAAGTTTATTACTCTATGGATAGTATGAACATGAGTGTTGTGATTTTCCTAAAGTGCTAGTGAGAAGTCGTGATTGTTCGAATTCAAACACATTGGGAGTAAAACAGTAGTTACTAGTGGCAATAAATGATCATACAGTATCGCAAATAGACTGAAGAGGACGAAACGGCTGTCTAGTGCTTCCAGGTTTCCCAGGGTGGTCTAGCTTCAACTGACTCATGATTTCAACTATTGAAATAGTTTTATGTTTATTAAATAGTTCTTTTGTAAATTTATTACTTCCCATAATCAACATTTTAACTATTTTTCAGGATTAGATAAGGCTGAATGTGAGTTTTCTTTTTTATTGTTTATGAAAGTCGTTATATTAATAAATAGTCACATTCACTTGTGATACATTACATAATCTATCATTTTACAAGTAATTCACAAATATATCGGTATTGATATTTCAAAGGGAAATGAAAAATTCTGAATTACATTGATGAGCAAAATGTTGAATTTATTTTACGTTGATTTACAGAAAGTTTTATAAATATAATTTTCTTCTTAATGTATTACATTAACTCGACCCCAAGTACTGAGCAACTAATCGTTCAGAAAAACGTCCTTATAAATTTATTAATACTACTTTTTATAGGAACTACACTTAAACGGCGGACAGTGTTCAAATCTTATCCTTTTTTTCTTAAATTCTATGCATCATTTACGTATTTCAAAAGAAAGAAACGTCGATCTATGAAAAAAACATCCACAATACTTGTAAGAGTCTATTAGTTTTTTTCGTGTTTTCACATTATTAACTGTTAATCAGATTAATAATTAAAAACGAACAGGTAGTTTTTCGATTGATTCAATTCAAAATGATTTTCAAAGATATTACCAAGGCAATAGATTCCAAAACAAAATTCTATGCATATATTCTCAAATGAATACTTGTCAGCTAAATGATACAAGTGATTGACTTGAAGACATAAACAAAATACATATCAAGTTAAAGAATAAAGAAGAGTTATCCACGACAATAATGAAGAGCATTAAATACTCTTCATTTTTAAAAAAAGCAAACAAATACATCAAAAAATCTTGTAGTAACCTTCCACATTCACTCATAATTGTTCCTAACTGAGCTGGTTTAATGCTCAAATTTCAGTAGTACATTAGATGTGTTACTTAATATCCCATTAACACAGATTATTTATCGATGTACATTTTTATTGGATACGTGTTAATGTGTATCTGTTTGCTTATTTATTTATTCCATTGAATTTATAGATTTATAAACAGATTTATTCACTAGTACAGTTTACCTGCTGAACTGTATGTATGAGATATCACTTTCCCAAAATATTTCTTATCCGACTAATCTATATGGCATTTTTAACTAAACCTACTTACACAATGTGATGTTTCAGAAGTTAACTCGGAACTTTTAGTCTAGAAATTAAATGAGGATTTAAAATTATCAAAGTTATTTTGGACTACAGAGAGAGTTATTGCTGGAAATGTTCACAAGAAAAATAAAGTGAAAATTCATTAAGAGAAAATTCTAAATCACAAATTAGTATTTCTATTTGTAATCTGTATATTAATTGCACAGATTATGAGCTATGAGAAACATTTAGTGCGTTGTAAAATCAACAAAATTTTTTCGGATCACATTTTAAGACAAAATGTCATATTTTCAGACGATGTACGTCTGACCATTAGGTTTTACTTTCACAAATACGTTTGGATGGTAGCGATACGACATGATAAATAATTATGTAGTGTCTCTAAAAAAACAGTGGTTCTCATGAGAAAGTTCACTTTTGATTCAGCTAGCTTTATAGCTGAAAAACTAGCGAAAGAATAATCAAAAATCAAGTTAAAAGTCAGTACGAAATGATGCACACAGGATGCTTCATGGACCAACTTATCATAAACATAAATGTGACACATTGGAAACATTAGCAGGCTGGTCATTTAAAATAAGTTTATTAAGAAATAACAAATAAGGGGAGAAAATTAATCCAGTGAAAATAAATTTATCAAATCATACATTTGGAGCTGTCTGAAATTAACGAAAAGAAGAATATAAAAGAAAAACTCACAACGACACATCATATCAATTGTATGCAACGAAAGATGGTCACACAGTATCGCGAACTGATTCAAGTTAGATATATACACTAATATCAGTTCGTGGTGTGAACTGTAGAAAAAATTCAATGATATCCACAAAGCCCCAATACTAAAAATAAAAGAATAAAAATATACATACCTCAAATACTAAGTAACCACTGATCGAACAGCGCGTATAGTTACCCAGGTTACTCTATAAAATGAAAAATGAGAGTCCGTTTACAGTTACTTTTACAATAAAGTAAATAAACCAGACTTTAGCAAGTTGATATACGTGACATATCTGTAGTAAAGTTATATAAAATATGATGAACATGGAAAATTGTTTGATAGTAATAACTGGAATTCACCTAATCAGCGATCTGTGACTGAAAACGTCTACATTTATTAGAATGTATGTATATCTAGACTGCATGTTTCAATTCGACTGAAAAACACATACTACATTCCACCACTAGCCAATAAAAAATGATATGAAAATGTGTTCGCCGGGCATTATAGCATTAAATCATCAGTACAAGCAGCCCACTATCATGTGACCTTATGGACTTGATTTTTCTTATGGACCAAAAATGTAAAAAAATGTAATCCCTCAATAGGTATATATAGTTTCAAACAAAACGCGCTACTAGTGAAGTTGGTGTGAATGCCAATGAAGGTAATTTCTACTGAGACAAAGTAGAATAAGTTTACGGCTGATAGCCGAATGCATAAATTACTACATGATGAGGAAAAGTATTACTGAAAAAACTGTCACAGAAAAACCTATTTTGCAATACTCCCTGGTTTTCTACTTTTTACAATTGATCGGTCATTGAGTAGTGACAATATCATGACTGTATAGTCCTTTATTGATGATAGACCTCTGTAGATCAAGTTGCGATGTGGCTACTGGTTTATTTAGGTAGCTTGACATCACATGGAATACGTTAACGTATCAACTAGCATTAAATCTAGATTCAGAATCTCCTGCCAACAACTTCAAACCACCTAATATCTTGTTATTTAATTTGGCCTTTAGCTGGTTCTGATTGATAAAAAAGTATCAACTAAGAATAAATTTGTTAAGATGATGACACAAAATTGAGAAAAAAATTTATTTTCATAGGTAATCACTTACTTTGTATGGAGTTGACAAACTGAAGTGAATATAATTTGATTCTACCAAATTGAAACGAGATGCACGAGCATCCCATAACTTTATTGAACAGTTTGAATATTCTATGGATGTATTTTCACTGATAGAAATATGGGGATTAATTGAACCATGGATGAAATGATTTAACTTTAAAAAGAGTGAAAATCAAGAAAAATCTCAACAGTATATGATTTTAGCATTACAATTTTATGAGAAATCAGTCAGTAGAACAAGACTTTAATATATGCAGTAAAAATAAAGGTAAAAGTGGAGGATTAGTTAAGCTTGTTTTTACTAACATTTGGTTTCCATAGAGCTATCACTACAATTACTGAACAATTACAATTGACATATACAACACGGGATTGCGCTGTGCGAGTGTGTGTTCCCAAATAACTGTTAACAGCTAATATACTAATGAATTTATACGATGAACTCTTAGCACTGATATTTCGCAAAGGTATCGGCTAAACTTGATAATTTAGTGATGTTGAAAACATTGGTTAGCTGGTTGAAATTAGCTTTATACATGTTTAGTTAGTCTATTTTGAAAGAATTCTTTGTCAGACCAAAATATATCTGTAAAGTGATCAACTGCTTCTTTTTCGATATACTATAAAAGATTATAAGAATTCATGGTTTGAAGGGTTGGATAACACCCATTTAGAGATTTGTCGAGGACAGTTGCATGTAAAGCTATTTTGCCTCTAAAAAGAATGATTTTCTTTAAAAACAATGTTTTGTTGAAAATAATGTAACTAGTTTGTAGAAGGATTACAGGTAAGTGAATATTGACCTTTTATAAACTATCTAATTCAATAACATCTTAAACATTATGATAGCAAAAGCAGTCAATATCTAAATGAAAAGTGATATTATTACTAATTGAGATGATAACACTATTCAGTTTAAGCGTGTATTTGTAAGTGATTCCACTGTATAACTTAAGTGAATTACACTGTAGCATAAATTGAATACTATACATATATATAAAAGAAATTTGCAGCTCAGGTCACCATTCGGAAAATTTACGGACCAATATTATTATCCAAAGTTTTTCTCAATCTATTTCTACTAGAATCAACATATAGCATCAAAGTAAATGGTGTACATTTTTAATCATAATAAAATATTCTAACTGGAAACAAATCTGCTTTTTGTTCAGTACTTTATTCATTGTCAATTCTATTACATTTCTGGCTTTGGAATACAAAAGATAAATGAAAAAAATTGAAAAATACTTACACTATTGACATATTTCGAATCCAAACTATGTTTAATTTCATTTAAGTGATTATGTATTTCCCTTTGAACACTGTCATAAAACCAATAAAAATATTAGTTTTAATGTTTTATAATTCCTATATATATGTATAGTGTTTTACTAAATTATTCCAATTGATTTTTCAATGGATGGAGGAATAGAGCAAAATCCATGGAAAATATCATCATATTCAGTCATATTCAAAAATTCCAAACAAGTTGAATATACTACCAAACGAAATAAAATAGAATCTATAGGTCAACGATTAGGTTGTATGAGTGAGCTCTATGATATCTAATTTAATCTAGATAATTAAGTAGTTTTTGTACTGGAACCTCATACAAAATGTGTGGTTGATGGATGAACATAGAAAAGTTTAATAGTTTATTAAGATTCATTAAACTAATGGAATGGAAAAATTATGGAATTATACCTCTATTGTTACATAACGGTTATTTATTTAGGGATAGAAAATGTGTAGTTAAGACTATTCAGAAAATATATGAACAGTTTAAATAAATAATTCTCATATTAACATGAAAAAATCAAAGGTTCTACCTGTAAGGGCATAAACATGAAATTCTGACGAGATAATCATAGATTTTCGGGTGAAAGGCTTAGTGAAGCAAAGTAACATATTTTAGACGTCATGATGATGAAGATATAATATAAACCATTATGAAGGTAAGAAGAAATATTTATATGTGAAAATCTAAAAAACAGATTTAATTACAGTAAACCCTCAAATCGTTTTTTACTGTCTGAAATTGTTCATATTCAAGTGACTGAAAATGAAAAACAACCTAGATATATCATATTTTGGGGTAAAATTTAACTCATCTATGCTTTTCTTTACCCAGTTTTGGCGGAAAAAAAGAACAACTAAAAGTATATTCGTGAATGAAATAAACAACACCTACTTAGCCTGCAACTGATTATCAGGAAGTTGTAAAAGTGACTCGGATGTGTACACATTTCCAATATGAAAATCTTGATAAGAAACAACAGGATTATTGAGGTTACCCGAATGAACTAGCTGATCTGGTAGAAGAATTAGTCCAGGACAATCGTTGTAATGCCAAACTAATAGAATATATCTGAATAATAATGTACAAATAAATATACGAATCGTGTAAGATATTAGTCATATTCATTACTCTTAACAAAAAAGAAATATCACATACAACCTTCCTATTTCTCATTAACCAACCATGACATGATAATACTAAGTGAAATACAGGATCAGTTGTGAAAAAAAAGTCAGAAAGGAATATTCCAATGATTTTTGCAGTCTACGGTATGTATGATAAAATAAATAGAACATCTATGAAAAATACACAGTTGATTGGCTATCTGAATTTAGTAGCTAAGTGGAAAACGAGACGATGATCGAAGTGAAAGTTACTGGGTTCGAGTCCCGGAGTAAACATCAACTCCGGGACGCAAGTTCATTATTATTATTATTAGTTTTATCCAATATTATATTTTTGGTACAATATGGAATCCTTAACACATAGTATTTCAACAAGTTTCCGTTTATTTCTTGGTTGATCCAGTGCTAAAAGTATTCTTTGCCATTTTGAGAACCCGGAGCAGTTAACTCTGCTTTATAAGTAATTAGTACTGAGAACATATCTGGTTATTGGGCAACCAAGTAGAAATTTCTATAGCTAATTAAAGTCTTACACTTTTTTGTACGGGTTAATAATATTATTAGGTTGTTCAAACAAATGTAGGTGGACCGAGGTTCAAACCTGAAAATTAGTAATAAGTGGTCAGATGTCTAAACTACTCGACTCGATCACTCAAAATGAACCTGTGGAAACAACACCACGAAAGAAACGGGAGACGATAAACTGTTATCAAACTAATTCTTCACCAAAAAAACTCAATTATTCCACAGATATATTTACATTGTATACATCCTTTTCCGGATTTTCTTATTATTCAACACATTTATTAATCGCTTTTTATTATTCCTTGATGATACCTATTCTGTTATTTTTCATTTCATCGACGTTTTGTCTTTGTTCTACCATAAATTAGGACAACTTGAAATGACGCGATTTCGGGTATAAAGTTCTACATTGGTGTATATGGCTTGTCTCAGTCAGTAGAACAACGTAGAACTTTGTACGTACGTACATCAGTTCGAGTTGCCATACCACATTAGCACAGAGATGCAGTTGTCGATTCAAACCCCATAGTGGTAGAGATAGTAAAAGTATAAGCAGTAATCGAAAACATTAGGGTTTGAAGATGTTATTCAAGGAATATAATACAGTGAAATAAATTTGGAAAGAAAATAAGGGACATGAAGAGTTCAGAAGATTAGAACTTGGGAGAACACAAAGAGTGGATGGACTTGCGCTATTACAAACGATTTTGAGCCATGTCATTCAGGGTCTCTAGCCATCGGTTGCTATCATCTTGCGGTCCCCAACCAGGTAGTCTACACCTACCAACATGGCTCAGTTCACTTGTCAGTGACTTCATGGACCTGTGCCATGTTTTGGTCTGGTCGCCCCTAGCTTTCTTCCAACCTACTCCTATACCAGTGGCTTGTCTATTGTATTTCTTATGACGCCTAATCTTTCCCATAAAATATCGTCCTCGACAATTATAACACACACTCTGTTGTTTCCAGTCATATTACTTAAAAAGTAAAAATTTTCATTTCAAGACACCTTTTAGCTTCAAAACATGTAAACATTATGCTGCGTAGCACAAAAAGGTAAATTTAAATGAAAACTGAATGCACTCAGTTGTTAGTGCATTATTTCACCAACCTTAATTTCTTCAGTAACCAAAATCGATAGCAACCCAAGACTAAAAAACACTTCCTATTAAATATTTCTGTCAACATATTTTCGGAAGAATCCTGAAACGTTTGAATGACAGATGACTTTGGTTCTGCTAATCCCTTAATCCGAAATAAATACATCAAGAAAGTTGAGAATATAGTTATATCACTTAAAACGATTAAGTAGTATTATAAAGTGCATATAATAAAACTCATTGGATTCAAATACATGATTGTACATCTTTGAATTTAAAAAAAAATTGAAATCGAATCCACAGTGTTAATACTATTTGTATTAGTTTTCGACGTAAATTTAAAAGTTATTAATTTCTAAATGGTCTCAAAATATAATGCCGCCACTAAGTGGCATGAGCTGCAAAACCATGAAAATTTTGAGAGCATGGAATAATTGTTTCATCTTAGTCTACAACTGTCAGGGAATGCTAGTCATCTAGACTCCTCAAATCTCATAATGAAAACGATACTTAAAATGACCCATTGTGTCATTAAATAAGAAAAAGAGTATCCAGAGAAGAAAATTTTCTTTTTGACGAGATCATTTACTTAAGCTGTACATTCGTATTTATAGTTATATGGAAAACATATGTCTATAGAAGGATAGAAAAGATTGAATCATAAATTGATTTGAGACTTTTTACAGATTAAGTACCCAATGTTTCGAAATTCATGTGTACAGACTAACCGCGGTTCATTGTGATGGTACCCAATCGAAATCGTCAGTGATTAACTGTCTCAATTGTGGCTAAATTAATTTCATATATAATGATTTTCACAAGGAAGTCGTCCATGAAGATCAGTCCTATCTACGTTTCGACTGCATGAAGGATGAACAAGGAGGTACTCCGAAATGAACTAAATTCTGTTTACAAATAGTTTCAATATTTTCAAGTTCGATGCATTCTCGATTGATATTTAAAAACTGACGACTATTTTGGCTAAAATTTCTTAAAGCTTTGTGTAAGAATTACTATAACTCCGCCTGGAGTCCCTCCGGGGCTACTGCCGGTCCCAAGCCCGGATAAAGGAGGAGGGTTGAGCATGGGGTTAGCGTCCCCATCCCGTAGAAAACTAACTCGCTAAAAAAACGCTAACTAGAAAAAATTACTCAAACCTTTTAAACTCTGCCCTGGGAGTCAGAAGGTTTTCATTTAGAAGAATTGTGACGCCTCATGATGAAAGCCGAATTCCTTCGGAAGTTACGAGGCCGATGCCCCTTCTGACAACCAGAGCGACCATTTATTTAGGTACATGGAATGTTCGTACAATGTGGGACACCGGGAGAGCCTTCCAAATTGCTGCAGAAATGAGAAGATACAACCTAGATGTACTTGGGATCAGTGAAACACATTGGACACAAGTTGGACAACAACGAATAACTACAGGAGAGCTCCTGTAATACTCCGGCCATGAAGAAGAAAATGCACCACATACACAAGGAGTTGCATTGATGCTGTCCAAACAAGCACAAAATGCACTTATAGGATGGGAATCTCACGGACCAAGGATCATCAAAGCCACGTTTAAAACAAAGAAAGAGGGCATTTCAATGAACATCATCCAATGCGCCTACCAACGACTATAATGAAGAAGCTAAAGATCAATTCTACAATAGGCTGCAGTCAATCATCGAGAAGTGCCCAACAAAGGACCTGACCATTCTGATGGAAGATTTCAATGCCAAGGTTGGAACGGACAACACTGGATATGAAGACATCATGGGACGACACGGACTGGGAGAAAGAAACGAAAATGGTGAGAGATTTGCAAATCTATGTGCCTTCAATAAACTGGTCATAGGCGGCACCATATTCCCACATAAACGCATACACAAAACCACATGGACTTCACCGGATCACTCTACACAAAACCAAATCGACCATATTTGCATCAACAAAACGTTCAGTAGGACTATAGAGGACGTGTGAACCAAGAGAGGAACTGATATAGTATCAGATCATCACTTACTGGTCGCCAAGATGAAATTGAAACTCAAGAAGCACTGGACAACGGGACGGACAATATCACAAAAGTTCAATACGGCCTTTCTTCAGGATACTAACAAACTCAACAAATTCAAGATAGTCCTCAACAACAAGTTCCAGGCCTTTCATGACCTACTCAATGGAGAAGGAACTACCGTGGAGAACAACTGGAAGGGGATCAAAGAGGCAATCACTTCAACATGTCCTGAGGTCCTGGGTCACACGAAGCACCATCACAAGGAATGGATCACTGTTGATACACTGGATAAGATTCAAGAAAGAAGGAACAAGAAGGCAGCAATCAGTAGCAGTCGAACAAGAGCAGAAAAAACCAAGGCACAAGCTGAATACAGAAAAGTAAACAAACAAGTGAAGAGGAGCATCAGAACCGACAAACGTAAATATGTGGAAGATTTAGCAACGACGGCAGAAAAGGCTGCAAGAGAAGGAAACATGAGACAATTGTACGATACAGCAAAAAAACTCGCTGGAAATCGCCGCAAACCAGAACGACTAGTGAAAAGCAAGGAAGGCAAAGTAATCACCAACATTGAAGAGCAACAAAACAGGTGGGTATAACACTTCAAAGAACTCTTGAATCGACCAGCTCCACTGAACCCACCCAACATCGAAGCAGCAACCACGGACCTCCCAATCAATGTTGGCCCACCAACAATTGAAGAAATCAGCATGGCCATCAGACAAATCAAGAGTGGCAAAGCGGCAGGACCGGACAATATCCCAGCAGAGGCACTAAAAGCAGACCTAGCGGCAACTGCAAGGATACTCCACATTCTCTTCAATAGGATTTGGGATGAGGAACAAGTATCAACAGACTGGAAAGAAGGACTTCCGGTCAAAATACCAAAGAAGGGCGATCTCAGAAACTGTGATAACTACAGGGGCATCACTCTTCTCTCAATACCGGGAAAAGTCTTCAACAGAGTATTGTTAAACATGATGAAGGAATCCGTAGACCCCAACTTCGAAACCAACAGGTAGGATTCCGTAAGCATCGATCGTGTACAGACCAAATCACAACACTACGGATCATTGTGAAACAATCAATTGAATGGAATTCATCACTCTACATCAACTTCATTGACTACGAAAAGGCATTTGACAGCGTGGACAGAACGACACTATGGAAACTTCTTCGACACTACGGCGTGCCTCAGAAGATAGTCAATATCATACAGAACTCATATGATGGATTACACTGCAAAATTGTGCATGGAGGACAGTTGACAAAGTCGTTCGAAGTGAAGACCGGTGTTAGGCAAGGTTGCTTACTCTCACCCTTTCTCTTTCTCCTGGTGATCGACTGGATCATAAAGACGTCAACGTCTGAAGGGAAGTGCGGGATACAATGTGCATCTAAGATGCAGTTGGATGACCTGGACTTCGCAGACGATCTGGCTCTTCTATCGCACACGCAACAACAAATGCAGGAGAAGACGAACAGTGTGGCAGCAGCCTCGGCAGCAATAGGTCTCAATATACACAAAGGGAAAAGCAGGATTCTCCGATACAACACAGAATGCACCAATCCAATCACAATTGACGGAGAAGATTTGGAAGATGTAAAAGCCTTTACATATCTGGGCAGCATCATTGATGAACACAGTGGACCTGATGCAGATGTGAAGGCGCGGATCGGCAAAGCAAGAGCAGCATATTTACAACTGAACAACATCTGGAACTCAAAGCAACTGTCAATCAACACAAAGGTCAGGATTTTCAATACAAATGTCAAGACAGTTCTACTGTATGGGGCAGAAACCTGGAGAACTACGAAAGCCATCATCCAGAAAATACAGGTGTTTATTAACAATTGTCTACGCAAAATACTTCAGATCCATTGGCCGGACACTATTAGCAACAACGTACTGTGCGAGAGAACAAACCAGATCCCAGCGGAGGAAGAAATCAGAAAGAAGCGCTGGAAGTGGATAGGACACACATCGAGGAAAGCACCCAACTGCGTCACAAGACAAGCTCTCACATGGAATCCTGAAGGTCAAAGGAAACGAGGAAGACCAAAGAACAAATTACGCCGAGAAATGGAGATAGACATGAGAAAAATGAACAAGAATTGGATGGAACTAGAAAAGAAGGCCCAGGACAGAGTGGGTTGGAGAATTCTGGTCGGCGGCCTATGCTCCATTGGAAGTAACAGGCGTAAGTAAGTAAGTAAGTAAGTAATTAGTAAGTAAGAATTACTATACAAATGGAATTCGAAGATGCTGGGGAAAAACCTAGTTAACTTGGTATTCAGTTAAACGAAAATCCAAATCACTGTATTAAGTGATAACTGACAAAAACCAATTATAACAATAAAAACACTGGAGTGAAATAGACCAGTATAAACTTTTTAGAGGAAGAATTATTGGATGTATGTGCACGATGAGTATCCGTTACTTAACATTTCCAATCATAAGGAAAACATGAGACACACAACTAACCATATTTCTTTATGTGTTTACATATAAGAAGTGCATCATATTACAACATTTTGAGAAGGGTGCATTATGTAAGGTTTACCTTCTACACAGAAATCATAACGAACTGCTTACTATATTGACTCAATTCTAATGTGTAGACAAATGCATACAAAGATAAGTGTGGAACAATTCAGTAAGTTATTCAATAATTTGGATTTAAATAAATATGTAGCCCTAATATTCATGATTAGAAAAAAGAAAAAGTGATAGAGAGGAGAAAAACAATTATTAAAGTATATGTATGGGAATCTATGAATGACATAAACAATAGCGTGGGTGTTTTATATTATGGGAAAGTTCAAAACCACACACTAACGACAATAAACACTGTTTCAAACTACCTAATCAGAGAATAATACTAGCGAAAAACGTCTAATCAACTTACTTTAAAACGTTTTGGACAATTCAAAACAATAAATGCATCACCTACACAGAAAATAAACAAAAGAGAAATAAAGTAGGTTATATGATGGAGTTTTAAGAGGAAAAAACATGAGTGCTAAGAAAGAAATTCTCATTTTATTAAAATAGAAATAAGTATAAACTAAACAAAAAATAAACTTTTCAATAAACTCCCATGTTCTACAGTTATAAATCTAAATTAATGTTTAAGATTACAAGATGATTTCACTCGCTCTATGTGTTTTCTAGAGTTACTTATACTATTAATCTTTTACGAACAAAGATGGACAGTGGCTAGCAGTGGAATTCAGGACGCACGTTTCGTCCCATTTGGGACTCGTTAGCTGGATACACCCGCATTCCAGAATTGACGTTCACTATGGGACTCGGACCCAGTGCTGTTCGCTTCAAACGTCATCGCGTTATCCACTTACCTACTGAGTCCTGTTAGCCGATTGCTTGTGCAGTGGCAATACGCACAGTATATACATATGCCAATAAGGGACTAATCAATTGTAGTTCTAAACATCAATGGGACGATTCAAGTAAATAATACCAAGTGAACGTATACAAAATTGTTGCGCTTTGAAAAAGGCACAAACGACTGCTGTAATCATAAGTTTATGATTCAACAACTTATAAGTCACAGCAGAAGTAAAAACCTAGAAAATTCCAAGTCTATTTGATCATACTATGCAATAATGAATAAATACAGAGATATATACGAAGCTTTGAGCTGGAGAACAAAACCCCATCAAAATCATTCACTTGAGATACAAATCTTCTCCACCATATCAATATATACGAAGCTTTGAGTATAAATATTTTAATGGAAGATCCACTAACATCATTCGGTTATCCAGACTGAATTAGGTGGAGCAGGATTTGAAGCTGTAAAACCTAATAGTCAAAATTTGAATGCTTTAACTATAGGGCCAGTGTTCAGATCATGGTATTTATTGGATATGAATTGAATCAATTAACTTAAGATTTGAAAAGTCCAACTTATATATACCATAAGAGTGCTAATAAAGGAAGTTGAATTAAAGACTATCCATTTTCGTTGCTAATTAGCAAGTAGATAGAGCCAACATTTATAGATTGACAAACAAATACAAACAACTTACATGATATTAAACATGAACAAGTAATTAGTTCAGGTTTATGAGGGATTATTTGGGAATTAGGAAAATCATTTTCTACATCACTTAAAACCTCATGTCTTAAACGTTCAACCCAGAAGAATGAATACATCACAGGCAAACTATTGAATTCATGAGAAGGATATGTTAACCTACCACCAGAAAGAAAACAAATAAACGCTCCCATAAATTACAACAGAAAGGCAAAATCAGAACTGAACTGTTAAAAAAGATCTATCTAGAAGGATGTAGATATCCTTAAAATAAAAAAGTATGATTATAAAGTCCTTTTACGTCTCTCATTATTAGTATAAAATACTATTATTTTCATACACCGAAGACTTATAAGTAAATAAATAACCGAATTATCATAGATTATGTTTCGATTCTGTAACTGGTACCAAGTAACATAATGTATGGCTTACCGATTATAAATATGGTCATGGCTCCTGCAGCATTTATTTCTCTATACAACTGTCATAGATCCCAAAGATCTGGTAATAACTCCAACGACAACTGCGATACCACAAAAACTAGCGCTGCTAGCTTCAAGTCCCCTAGCAACTCAAAAAGATCAATCTTATTGAAAGAGACTAAAGCCATTTCAATTATATATTGATTCAGTTATTATTAATTATACAGTTCTATTTACTGGGTAATTGCAACTGAACACAAAATCATAGTGAAATAATCAGCACAAAGAAAATGCATTAAGTACCAAATAACTAAATACAACTGCCATAAGCTGGAAGTCAATTAATAGCATTTACGAAAATGAGCTTAAATTGACTGAGCGAAAATCACCTTAAGTTGATATGCGACAATACTACTGATTTTCTTTCTCGTACATTACATTTAAGAATACAGTACCTCCGACAATGACCATAATTTATTTAGATGAATGATACAGAATGATCTAGGGTTTGAAGTTATCCACAAAACACGGAAACTTTGACTCAATTCTTAAAATGCAAAAATATACATCGACCTAGATGAATGTCTAAATGTAGGCAGAGAAACGAGTAAGAAGTTTTATTATAAACTGATTTATGATCCCGTTCGATCTTGACATTTGCTGGAAATTACTATATAACTACAGATTTTAATCGTTATCGTGTACATGAACTTCATTGTCTACGTTCGAAATCAATGCTGTCACATGTCAAAATGCGGTCAGAACAACAAATCTATGTGAATTTCACCAATCTTATGAAGTGGTATTTCATACTGGCTTCCAGCCTTTTGAAGGGGTTTTGAAAGTTGGATGGTACAAATTTATTTCATGGTGGTCACTGGCATCTACGATGATCACTCCTTTTTTATTCAGTCTATCTGTCTTATCACTTCAAAATTAAGATAAAATCTATTTTTAATATAAATTTATGGGGAAGTTAGTATGATGAAAATCAAACTTTTTGGGAAAATATATTATTTAGCCCCTCACATATAAATAAAATCAATTTATTGAAATTAACTATACAGTAGAATAACCTACCATGGACTAAATACCATAACAAGATCGCCACATTTTAAATCATTGCCTAAAACGAAATTTGTTGCAGTGGATGAAAACAACTCTTCTGTAACAAAAGGGACACCAGAAATAGGTAGAAGGAGGATCGCGAATTTGTTTGATACATTTTCATTAGCATTAGATATTTCAGTTTTATTTTCTAAAGGTGTTACAACTTCACGCACACCGAATGCTACTAATCCAGGCAAACTATCTGAATAATTACGAAATACTCTAAGAATTTGAAAAGTTTTCGAAGCATGCTTAGTAGAATCTATAAGAAAATATATATGATAAATTTTATGAAAAATTCGAAAAGAGAGCAGAATTAATTGTTAAAATCGAATTTCTCTAAATTAATTTTTAAAGTGAGCAATTATACGTAAACTCGTGTCACCTTGCTGAATTCATGATGAGCCCAATGAATGGTGCTAACGACATACATATGACTACTTATTTCGTAAATACGTTCATGAAAAGTTACATGAAGTCGAGTATGAGTATTTTGGGGACGTATATTTCATATATGTGAATATTAGGCAGTAGAAAACCATAAGAAACACAGGCAGATATGTACAGCGTCGGAGTTCCGTAGTACAGCGAATTCGAGAAAATTAAGAGTGACTCTAGCTTACAAACGGTGTAAAAAATACAAGTAAATACATATATGTATAAGGAAACAATCGAGGTTAAAATTGAATAATTAACGAACCAATCTGTACAGAATAATTAGTAACATCAAAATAATTAGGCTACCTAGAAACAGAATAAACTCATGTGGGGTTATAACAGGCAAACCAATACAAACCCTTTAGAAAGGGCTTAAATGACTATACGAAGTAACAATGAAGTCAATGGTAAGGACAAAATATGAGAAAAAAAAGAGAGGATGTAGTATTCTTAAGAAACAACCGAAGGTTACTCGAATGTCATACAATAATTTGTGGTTAATTGATGAAAAATGATTCTCCGGTAATCATATCATCAATCAACAGAATCATTTTACATTAAAGTGTAAAAATTTCAAGCTGGAAAATCTTACTGAATAAAGCTGCAGTTACAGTTCATAAATACATTATTTAAACACTAAGTGAGAAGGGTTCATTACATTCAATTCTAAATATTTGGTGTGTGGACGTTTGGCAGAAATTTTGAGTTAGAAGGTAGAGCAAAATAACAGAGACCTCGAATGCCACATATCTCCAACATGATTGAATGAGCCAGTGAAATGATGTTGGCATATTAGTAAGTATCGGCCTTGATAATTGTTGAGACAATACAGATGCTCAGATAAGGTGTCAGGTTCATATAGAATTGCTAGCAGTGAAACCCAGGAAGCGCGTCTTGTCCTATTTTGTAATTGTCGACTGCATGTACTTGCATCTCAGAATGCCAGGTTCATACTTTATACAACTTACTAACCAAATGGTTCAGAGCTACAATCGCATGATATGTCAAGAACTAAGCAAGTTAAGATTAAAACTGGGAGGATCTGACCAAATATCTTGTGAGTTACTTATTAAATCAATGGACCATTAAGTTTAAAACCTGTGAGATACTGCAATGAAAACAACATCTGGGTGACCAATCTGAAAACGGAATGGAAAAGATGAAAACAAGTGTGCAGAAGCATTTTTAGCCAAATCATACTAGTTATTAAGGAGGGGGAAGATTAGTTGCTGATAATGAAAAATGGTTGCCCTAGTTAGACCATTCAAGGAAGTGTTTTGGGGCCGCATTGTACACCCTAATCACCTATAAGATAATCGAATACTCAACACAAAATTGTACCATGACTAGGTGTGCTGAGAGAAAAAAGGATGGGAAACAAACCAAGTAACTGTCTTTTTACTTGACACATTATCCAATCAAAAGACTAAAAATACGAAAGGGTAACTGACGAACTTGGGATTTGTATATACAAATAATCAAGGCACTATGCTAAGACTTGCTATAGATAACAAATTCGTTTTAAAACCTTAAAACGGATTTTAAAAAGTATAAACTTTTACTCGATGAATATTCGTACACCTACTGAGAGGTATTTCAGAGTCTTAAACTTGGAATTTTCAGAAAGTTACAAAAACTGCGAGCATTCTATTGTGAAAATATTAAATAACCATGACTCATATTTCATTTTCTTCTTGGTTAAATTAAACCAACTCTTTACAACTTCATAATTTGACAAGTATAATAAACCATGCATGGAAATTACCAAGGATATTTTGAGTTGAACGTTGATGCAACCAGATAGAACGTTCTGAAGAGTTACGTTTGACCAAATAGTGGAGTTTCCGCAATATACTATTCCTAAACACAAACCATATCAAAACTGTTAGTATATTAAAATATGCTTTCGTAATATAATAATAGAAAGTAATTAGAAAATGGTGGTAAACGACAACAATACCCAACGGCCATCATTATTAAATTATTATAAATATAGGGCAGCGAAACATGACCGGTAAGAGTAGAGGATATTCGTACGCTACTTGTATTTGATCATAGGTGTCTTCGAAATATTGCTCGTATATCTTGGGACTATCGAGTAAGTAACGCAGTTGTTAGGAAACGGGTACTAGGCAGGGATGGCAAATCCATTGATGAAGTAGTGAAGCCTCATCAGTTGAGATGGCTGGGACACGTGTTACGTATGCCCAACCACTGACTGCCTCGACGTGCGATGTTCTGTGGGATAGCAGTAGGTTGGAAGAAAGCTAGGGGTGACCAGACCAAAACATGGCACAAGTTCAGGAAGTCACTGACAAGTGGACTGAGTCATGTTGGTAGGCGTAGACTACCTGGTTGGGGACCACAAGATGATAGCAAGCGATGGCTAGAGACCGTCCAATCGTTGTTCATTCTTCTCATGCTTGTCTCCATTTTTCGGTGTAATGTGTTCTTTGGTCTTCCTCTTCTCCTTTGGCCCTGAGTATCCCACGTGAGGGCTTGCCTTGTGATGCAATTGGGTTCTCTCCCCAATGTGTGTCCTATCTACTTCCAGCGCTTCCTGGGATTTGGTTTGTTCTCTCCCACAGTAGATTGTTGCTGATAGTGTCTGGTCAACAGATCCCAAGTCTTTTGCGTAGACAAGTAGACTGAGTCATGTTGGTAGGCGTAGACTACCTGGTTGGGGACCGCAAGATGATAGCAAGCGATGGCTAGAGACCCTGAATGACATGGCTCAAAATCATTTGCAATGGCGCAAGTTTTGGTGGAGCTTTGTTCTCTGAGCTGGATGGGTCGGTCGTGGAGCTTTCATCGTTCTTCTGAACGACATCATCCACCATCTCAACGGCGCAAGTTCATCCACTTTTGTGCTCTCCCAAATTCTAATCTCCTGATTCCTTCTTGTCACTTCTTTCTCTTCCCAAATTTATTTCACTGTATTATACTCCTTGAATAACATCTTCAAACCCTAATGTTTCCGATTACTGCTTATACTCTTACTATCTCTACCACTATGGGGTTTGAATCGACAACTGCATCTCTGTGCTAATGTGGTATGGCAACTCGAACTGATGTACGTACGTACGAAGTTCTACGTTGTAACTGACTGACTGACTGATTATAAATATATTATAAGTAAAAATAAAAATAAAACTATTCACTAAAAATTAGCATTCTACTAAAACTACTTAATAGCACATTTTCTATTAATGACATTAAATACTGTTCGTTAACCTAACGGATGTTTTGATATAAGAATCGATTTTAGTAGAGGATATCTCATACTAGCGAGTATTACAGCAATAGAAAAACTAAAAAATAATGATATTTCGATAGTTGTAAAAATTTGACTGAAATGAAGAAACAATATTCTTTAGATAACTTTATAAATGTATTCATTTTATACATTCGGATGCATGCATTCGTGGATTTTTGAGAAAATTCAACCCCTAAAGTAACGAAAAAATCTTTACTCCAGAAGCTTCAAAGCTTTTAAGATATTTACACTCTGGTTTTATCATACTAGCTTGATTATTGCCGTCAGGCTAACAAAAATGACTAGATTCACATTTCTAAGCGGCTAAATAAGCTGATATACCTTTATATCTTAGATGTCAATAGAAACTGTTGACAATGTACAATCCTCATCTTATCTCTGAATATCAACAAAGCACTAAGTGTATCCTTAAATTTTGACCAATATTACTGAAGAAACTGTAACATACACCCCCTGATGGCGACCAACGTTGTCAATAACTCCTCAAAAAATCAATTTAAGTGCGACACAAGTATGTTACTGACAAAGTCATTTTTAAATAGATGCACAATGTAAATGCAATACGTACGAAGATATTCGACGAGGAAGAGATTTGACAGTCAGATTTGTATAAGGGAGCTCTGAACAATCCCGTTGCAACTCAGTAAGATAACATAAGGAATCAAAGTTAGATTCATCGAGATTTGTGAATTCATTCTGATTGACAACTTCAGTCACAGAACTTGGCTGAGAATACTCACAAATTACAGCATTTTCATTTTGAGAGGAAACTGAAGACGAACAGTTACCGGAAATCAAATTCTGGAGCTGCTGGAACTCATTCGATGACTGAAATAAGAAACAAAAACAATCAATGAACATTGACTTGAGATTTTTAGGTAAAAACTAAATACATGAAATATCTGTATGTTTACACTACTTCAAACAAAACGCACAGATGACATTTTCAAAAATGTAATATATATGCAATTAAAATTCTTTTTATGTCTCGTGGTTCCAAAAACATTAAGCTGATTACTTTGGACTGCTCATACCCATATTACAATACATCCAATATGTTAAGTCGGTCAAGCGAAATGTCGATAGTTGCAAAGATGGTGCAAGCTAACTAAATGTATACACACTTAGCAGAAAACTACAACCTCAACAAAGTAGGGACATTCACTTGTCATCATACCGACCGGAATACTTGTGTCATAAATCCCTACTTTGTTAAAAAGGTTTACTAAAGAGCAAAAAAACGAAGTGTGAATTGCTGCGGAAGCTCCATGACTTCTTGTCGTTTATCTGGATCTATGGTGTCGGTAGGTTTAATAAACAGATGTAACTTTGCAAAGGCTAATGCCATTAGAAAAAATATGTTTGACTGATTTTAAATCTCTTCTAATATCCAAATTGTAAAGTCTATTTCGGACATTTGATGAAAATTTTAGTTGTCAATCAGTAGACAGATCGACAAAGATTCAATCTATCAGACCATGCGAAAAAAGATGAATCAACTAAATGATCTAACAATGACGGCTGAAAAGGCTGCAAGAGAAGGAAACATGAGACAATTGTACGATACAGCAAAAAAACTCGCTGGAAATCGCCGCAAACCAGAACGACTAGTGAAAAGCAAGGAAGGCAAAGTAATCACCAACATTGAAGAGCAACAAAACAGGTGGGTATAACACTTCAAAGAACTCTTGAATCGACCAGCTCCACTGAACCCACCCAACATCGAAGCAGCAACCACGGACCTCCCAATCAATGTTGGCCCACCAACAATTGAAGAAATCAGCATGGCCATCAGACAAATCAAGAGTGGCAAAGCGGCAGGACCGGACAATATCCCAGCAGAGGCACTAAAAGCAGACCTAGCGGCAACTGCAAGGATACTCCACATTCTCTTCAATAGGATTTGGGATGAGGAACAAATATCAACAGACTGGAAAGAAGGACTTCCGGTCAAAATACCAAAGAAGGGCGATCTCAGAAACTGTGATAACTACAGGGGCATCACTCTTCTCTCAATACCGGGAAAAGTCTTCAACAGAGTATTGTTAAACATGATGAAGGAATCCGTAGACCCCAACTTCGAAACCAACAGGTAGGATTCCGTAAGCATCGATCGTGTACAGACCAAATCACAACACTACGGATCATTGTGAAACAATCAATTGAATGGAATTCACCACTCTACATCAACTTCATTGACTACGAAAAGGCATTTGACAGCGTGGACAGAACAACACTATGGAAACTTCTTCGACACTACGGCGTGCCTCAGAAGATAGTCAATATCATACAGAACTCATATGATGGATTACACTGCAAAATTGTGCATGGAGGACAGTTGACAAAGTCGTTCGAAGTGAAGACCGGTGTTAGGCAAGGTTGCTTACTCTCATCCTTTCTCTTTCTCCGGTGATCGACTGGATCATAAAAACGTCAACATCTGAGGGGAAGCATGGGATAAAGTGGACAACTAGAATGCAGCTGGACGATTTAGACTTCGCAGATGATCTGGCTCTTCTATCGCACACGCAACAACAAATGCAGGAGAAGACGACCAGTGTAGCAACAGCAGTAGGTCTCAACATTCACAAAGGGAAAAGCAAGATTCTCAGACACAATACAGCATGCAATAATCGAATCACACTTGACGGAGAAGCTTGGAAAGATGTAAAAGCCCTTACATATCTGGGCAGCATCACTGATGAACACAGTAGATCTGATGCAGATGTAAAGACGCGGATCGGCAAACCAAGATCAGCATATCTACAACTGAAGAACATCTGGAACTCAAAACAACTGTCAACTGACACCAAAGTCAGAATTTTCAATACAAATGTCAAAACAGTTCTACTATATGGGGCGGAAACTTGGAGAACCACGAAAGCCATCATCCAGAAGATACAAGTGTTGATTAATAGTTGTCTAAGCAATCAGTCAGTCAGTAACAACGTAGAACTTCCTACGTACGTACATCAGTTCGAGTTGCCATACCACATTAGCACAGAGATGCAGTTGTCGATTCAAACCCCATAGTGGTAGAGATAGTAAGAGTATAAGCAGTAATCGGAAACATTAGGGTTTGAAGATGTTATTCAAGGAGTATAATACAGTGAAATAAATTTGGGAAGAGAAAGAAGTGACAAGAAGGAATCAGGAGATTAGAATTTGGGAGAGCACAAAAGTGGATGAACTTGCGCCGTTGAGATGGTGGATGATGTCGTTCAGAAGAACGATGAAAGCTCCACGACCAACCCATCCAGCTCAGAGAACAAAGCTCCACCAAAACTTGCGCCATTGCAAATGATTTTGAGCCATGTCATTCAGGGTCTCTAGCCATCGCTTGCTATCATCTTGCGGTCCCCAACCAGGTAGTCTACGCCTACCAACATGACTCAGTTTACTTGTCTACGCAAAAGACTTGGGATCTGTTGACCAGACACTATCAGCAACAATCTACTGTGGGAGAGAACAAACCAAATCCCAGGAAGCGCTGGAAGTAGATAGGACACACATTGGGGAGAGAACCCAATTGCATCACAAGGCAAGCCCTCACGTGGGATACTCAGGGCCAAAGGAGAAGAGGAAGACCAAAGAACACATTACACCGAAAAATGGAGACAAGCATGAGAAGAATGAACAACGATTGGACGGTACTAAAAAAGGACAGAGTGAGATAGAGAATGCTGGTCAGCGGCCAACAGGTGTAAGTAAATAAGAGGCAAGTCTTTAAAAAACCACGCGTTATAGCTGTAAGATAATGTACCCGGAATGTTATCTGGTATACTCAACCTTTGATAACCGAATCGACACTATACTTAGTCTGATAGGTAGTATAAGTTAGTGATAATATTTCTTACATATTTACACTGTCAAACAGCACAAAAACCAAGCCCCATATATCTTACAGATTTTCATTCGCGTACATCCCTCACAAGATAGTATCTCAAGACGTTTTGTATGAGGAAAGGAAACACCAACAGCATAAAACAAATCACTCAATACCTAAGCGCTGTCTTAAGACAATCTCAATTCCTAACCTTTTAACTACAACAATCGATTAATTTTCCTTATTATGAGCCTAAAAGGATGATCATTTTATACATTTCAATTTCAATATCGGCTGTGTAGTATATGAATACTGCTGGACGTTTTATGGGAAAAAAATACAGTTGGGATGTACAACTGACCAACTTTCATAAAAAGATTAAAAATGAATAGACAAACTTCACTAACAAGGGGTTCATCTAAATTTTCGATACTTAATAGTTGATGGCCTAACTCAAAGGTCTCTCCCTCTGGCGATGAGGTCGGCGAAATATTTATACAACCTTCATCTTCTTGACTTTTTGTATTGATTACGATCCTCGAATCGGGTGCAACACGGCTGAATGACCGTTTAGGTCGTAAACTATTTGTAGGACCGAAAGAACAGATCCAAGATGATGAGTCATTAATTGAAACACTAAAAATTATTAAAAGAGAAGCGTTACCTCTTACGCGGAACACAAATACGTTTTGGTAACCAATCTTTCTTCGTGGACATTTTTGTTTAAAATAAAATGGTTAACTGAAAGAAAATAGGGATATTTGAGAACTTAAGTGCTGCATTCACCACCTTTAAAAATCACTGGTTTAAGACACAAATACTTCTCAGTATTCAGCTTGTCGATTAGAACAATTAAAATTGCAATAAATGTATTTTTAGAAGCACCGAATCATAAATTTGAAAATGTTATATCTAATCTGTAGTGCGTATAAATGGTGGTGCCGACTGGATGTCATGAAAGATGGCGACTCCGTCTCAGTGATTAGGTTTACTGAAACAATAGCTACAGTCTAGGAGCTGAAAGTAATCTCATTCGACCGGTCTTCATGACTAATCGTTCCAGTTTATAACAAAAGACAAACATCCTGTGATAATCATAAAGGAATCCGTTTGATTAATATAGAGTCTAGGAAGTAAGCCTCAAAAATTGTGCTGCTTAAATGAGGTTCGCGATTAGGAAACCAAGGTTAGTTTCAGATATGTCTGTTTTTGGAATATATCTAAAATACTGATTTCCAATGATAGAGGCAATATCCAACTCCGTAGACTAAGAGGTTCATTGGCAATTTGTCATCACAATGTATGCTAATGAAAACTTTGAGGAAATCCCAAAACGTTTCAAAACTTTAGGAAAACATGTCAAGTTCTTACTGGAAAGATGCTCTTTTTCGTACTACTCGTAATTGAAATCTCGTCGTTTCTCAGACCTAATTCCCTTAGAAAACTAGTCGTCTACCAGTCACCATAAAAAATCTGCTTGTTGCAGATCTCGCTACATAATACTACTAACATACTTGAGTTAAAATGTCGTTTGATGATAAACAAATGAGTCAACGGTTCTTGAAAGGTAATATACGGATTCACAAGTAAAGATTGTCTACGTTATCGAAGCAGTCCTGTTTGTAAACACTTGCAACATTTATTATTATATCTATACATCGCCATCATTAAACGACATTTTAAGTGATCATGTGCGCTACATTATAACGGAAATATGTACAACATTTGACATTTTCCCATCTTATATGTAAGTATCATTTGGGAGTAGGTGTGTATGATTTTCTTGCATTTATTCAAACTTGCATCTATACAATTCTTTAAAAAAAATCAAAACATCCTATGATATCATATAAACTCTACATAAGTACTGGTCTGATTATATGCGTTTAGAAAGACACGCCATTTAAATGGAAGAGTGAAAACTAATCAGACGTATATAAGGTACGAAAAGTCATTTGGAGCAGTTTGTTTGGAACTAATAACTTACAGTGATATCAGTATTTTTGAAACCAGCCTCAAAGTAAAAATGTACAGTGATTAGTAATTTCAACACAAACCTTCGAACTAAATATATGACCACATATAAATATATGCGGTAAACAGACTTTATTGCACTATTCCCACATTTTCATTGGATTGTCTTTGGGCGCTTATGTACTTTATGTAGCATTGTTCAGGAAAGCCTGATTCACAACATTCATCATTTGTTCGATATCTTTTTACAGAAAAAAGCACTATGAAACCATTAACATAAACGTATAACCAATAATGCTAGGTCTAACTGTGACTTAGTTAATTGTTCTGTAAAATCGATAATAACTTATACCCAATTTCCTTTTAGCTCCATAGTGAGTATAAGTAATTGTTAGTTCGGCCGTTATTAAGTAAACAAAAATTGACTGTACACTTACGAAGATCATTTCTGATGATCACATACAGTTAAATCACCTCAATCACAACAAACAACATTTGAAACCTACGAACTAGTCACTGGACTTTCGTTCTTGTAGTACAGCCTCCGATGTACCTAGTCAAGTGTCTGGAATAGAAATTCCAAGCTAAAGAAATCCACACTGCATATATTATTGACTTTGATAACGATAGATGAACATGCAATGTAGGAGGTCAATCTACTAATCTGATTAGACAGAACATTGATGGCTTTCCACATTTTATAGAAGTTTGCGTTGCAAGTGTGATACCTGTGGGGATAAAAATAACTGTTGATGTAACTAACTTATTTACAACACCTCTTGACGTAGTTGATCTGGTGACGGGAGGACTTCTGTTTAGGAAAAACTGATTTGTAAGCTTGTATTAAATGCACACTTTGATATCGAGTAAAAATTCTCAGTCCAGTTGCTAACATTGAGAAATTAAATGGAATACATCCAGTCTCCATTTCCACCGCACTCAACGCGTCAGTGTAAATGTACATGACTGATTACTAAACATTTAAAGATAAACTCACTAATAGAAACGAACGGCTCGGTGGTATAATGACTACGGTTTGTGTAGGGTCGAGATTTGATTATTCTCACCTCTCTAATTTGTGTGATCAAGCCAGGGTCAGCGTTTGGTGTTATTATTTTATAAGGCCTAACATTAGCATACTTCGAGTGATGGATTCTTTCTGGAAATCATAAACAACGAGATAAGTTTCCGATGTTGTAAGTGTTTACAAACAGGACTGCTTCGATAACGTAGACAATCTTTACTTGTGAATCCGTATATTACCTTTCAAGAACCGTTGACTCATTTGTTTATCATCAAACGACATTTTAACTCAAGTATGTTAGTAGTATTATGTAGCGAGATCTGCAACAAGCAGATTTTTTATGGTGACTGGTAGACGACTAGTTTTCTAAGGGAATTAGGTCTGAGAAACGACGAGATTTCAATTACGAGTAGTACGAAAAAGAGCATCTTTCCAGTAAGAACTTGACATGTTTTCCTAGTTTTGAAACGTTTTAAGGTTTTCTCAAAATAAAAAACAATTCAAGGGTCTTCTCAATATATTCGCTTGCATTTCTTAAAAGTGCAAATTGTGTGTAGATATTTTGTCACATTTTTTTCTAGAGTTTTTCGAGGTTTTTAATTAGTCTTTCCTAAAATTTGTTCATGACTAAAATTTTCAGATTGCTGGATAAACCTTTCAGATAGGATGGACTGACATACAACGAAAGATTAAATAGAAATCCATGAAATATTTCTTTTTTTACATAAGTCCTCAACATTTAAATGTCGAAGGCTTGTAAATTTTCCCAGCACATTACGTTATAAATTGATAGTGACTACAAATTATTTATAATCTACATGTAAGTTTACATCTCAAGATAAAGATTAGTAAGCTGTCCAAAATCCGAACATGAAAGTAAACTTCACTTGAGCCTAAGTTGCTATGAGTACCGCAAATTATCAAAAACTAGACCTAGAAAGTGGATGAATTTCGAATGGTTCAAATGGTTCTGGATGGAACAGAAGAAGCTTCCGCCTAACGAGATTCAGTATCTAGGAGCAACGGACCACAAATGCCAACAAGTAAGAATCCAGGTATATTTACGATGAAAGAGAATGAAAGAATTAATAAATTATAATGTGGTAATGTCAGTAGTCCTTAAGAATATGTCAAGTTTTCTCTTACAGGACTCTCAGAAAGTCGCTTAGACCAGCTAAGTTGGCACGAATTCTAACGTTTGACTACTGTTAAGGAGAAGAATGTGTGTCATTAAAAGGTCACCTCTGAGACATCATTATTCCATTGTGTAAAGGTTCAGTGTTTGAGGGCGCTCTTCAAAAGATCTGAATTCGAGTCCCTAAACTGATTTCTTGTCTTTAATCTTCAGAAATAAAGGAAGTAACACTGAATTTCCATGCTCTAGGAGGAGTAGAATAATACAGTTGAAGATTATGTGGAAACTTCCTCGTCGAATTGGCCGAAAATGCACTTCAACGTTACGAATGTAAAGTTCGCTTCAAACGCATTTTATCACAGTTAGTATAAGACTTTAGATCACAGGGTATCAACATTTCTAGATCTTTCCAACTAGGGCTACCTCTAGAGAGAAGTTAACTACGTTGTATTCGTAGTCTGTAACGTGTTTCAGATAAACTACTTCACACTGTGAAGAGTTTGAGGTAAGTCCGCTTATGTTTGCTGAACTCTGAAGTCGATTCAGATCTTCCTGAAGTGTCAGCATGAAGATGCCACAGGTATTCGGAATTTGACAACGCTTTAACCAGTAATACCTTCTTATACGAAGCGTACGTACCCATGAAGTGAAATTAAAATACAGAAGCGAGGAGGTTCGAAGATATATTTGATAGGCTATCAATATATCGAAGATC